CTTTCCAAATCAATTCCTCATTTCTCATAATTAATTATGCAAATTAATCAACCAATGTAATTGGGGCATTTTTCATAATTAACATTACAACCCTTAGGTTCCATTTTCATTAATGTTTCAACATTAATTTCACTGTTCCATGCCAAACATGCATTTTGGTTTTATATAAATGAAAACCCCAACTTTCACAAAATTACCAAAACCAACCCCAACATCTCAAAATACTAAAATTTAAAGACAAAGCTCATAGTAAGGAGTAGGTTATCCCTACCTCGAAGTTAGAGCTCGGATGGAGAAGAAGCCAAAACCAAAATGCTCCAAAGACCAAGATTCTCGAATCAAAACGACGCCCTCGACGATCCACACAACTTTTACAAAGGCCGAAGAGAAGGAGGACACTCTAACTAGATCAAACCCTAGAGAGAAGGGAGTTTCTAGAGAGAGAGGCTCTCAAAAATGTGTTTTAGAAAAAGTAGGAGAGAGAAAGAAAAGCAAAAAATGATTTAAAATCACCCAGCGGATAACTCATATACATATGACCCGCTCGAGCGGAGAACACAACGCTCGAGCGCCAAGAACAAAAATCTGAACACGCTCGAGCGCAATAAGTCCCGCTCGAGCGCCAAGACACAAGAATAAAGCACTTCCGCTCGAGCGCGAAAACCAGTCCGCTCGAGCGTAGATTTCCATCTTCCAGAACTTATACCCAGAAAGAACTACCCGCTCGAGCGCCACCAGACCTGCTTGAACGCTACCACTCGAGCGTAAACAAACCTGCTCGAGCGTAAAAATCACATCTGCAGAAGATTTTGCAGGAACACGAAATACTGGTTTTGTGCAATCCCCGTTCAAGCGCAAGAAGACCCGCTCGAGCGGAACGCCTAAAAACTGGGCAACAAGGAATTAAAACCAAGGCCTAACCAACCTGTAACAACCCTGCCCAAAACATCCTAAAACTCAATCAAGTGGAATTAAAGAACGGCAACAAGATAGATACAACTACCCATTCCACGGAATCGAGTCCGGAATACAACAGAACAGTAAAGGGACAACCGGGATCGCTATAACCTCCCCCCCTTAAAGAATTTTGTCCCCAAAATTAAACACAAGTTTTTCAAAAACAGGTTTTCTAGATTCTCAATAATATTACAACATAATATTAAACAACCCGACCCATTACCGGTCAATTCCATCTCTTTTCAAGAGGCATTTCACAACATACATGGTTCACAGTTCATATCATAATCAATATACATGATACAACTCCAATTCTACAATATAGCCGACAAATGCGATATCATAATCAACTCCCATATCAAGGTAAGTTCTACAACATACTTCCATTAAACCAAAACATTACCAATGTTTCACAACTTAAGACATATATAAAGCCCTTAAGTCCAACAACCTTACAAAATTTAAATACAAGATTACTCATCAATAAACCAATCTGGATATTTCTCGCGGACCTCCAACTCACGTTCCCAAGTGGCTTCCTCCACTCCGTGATGTTTCCACAAAACCTTGACCAAAGGGATGGTCTTGCCACGCAGGACTTGATCCCGCCTATCCAAGACCCGAACCGGTCTCTCCTCATACGAGGCATCTTCATCTACCTCCAAGTCGGTCCAATCTAACACATGGGATGGATCCGGCTCGTACTTCCGAAGCATACTCACATGAAACACGTCATGAACTCCGGACAATTGTGGTGGCAACGCTAAACGATAAGCAATTTCCCCAATCCTCTCAAGGATCTCATAGGGACCAATAAACCGAGGGGATAACTTCCCACTCTTCCCAAACCTCATCAACCCCCGCCTAGGTGATATCTTCAAAAAGACATGATCACCTATCTCAAACATCAAGGGTCTCCTCCTACGGTCGGCGTAAGATTTCTGACGACTCTGGGCTGTAACAAGCCTCCTACGGATAAGTTCAACTTTCTCCGTCGTCTCCCTAACCATCCGTCATCACCGAAGTTGTCTATCACCCACCTCGGTCCAACAACTGGAGACCTACTAGCGCGCAATACAAGAGCCTCAAACCGGTGCCATACCGATCTAGACTGAAAACGTGTGTGTTGTAGCAAACTCCTACCAATGGCAAGTGTGCCTTCTTCCCACTCCCACTAGAAGTTCCAAGGACACTATCCCGAATCATTTTATCCTCAAGGAATCTGAATAGTACGCTCGGACTGCCCGTCAGTCTGAGGATGAGATTAAGCCGTACTAAAAGGTCAACTTAGTGGCCAAGGCACTCTGCAAACTCTGCCACAACCTTAGAGATAAAACGAGGATCTCTATCTGAGACGATCTCGTCACTGGACCCCGTGATTCTCACTAGTTCCCGAATATACAAAATCGGCAAGATGATCTACCGAATCTCTCACGTGCATGGGAATGAAGTGCGCCGACTTAGTCAACCGGTCTATAACCACCCAAATGGCATCACTACCCCGCTGAGTCCTCGGAAGACCTACAATGAAGTCCATAGTGACATGCTCCCACTTCCACTCGGCAATAGGCAAGGGTTGCAACAAACCCGTTGGCCTCTGATGCTCGGCCTTCACTTGCTGACAAGTAAGGCATTTCGACACGAAAACTGCCACATCCCTCCTCATACCTCGCCACCAAAACTGGCGACCCAAATCATGATACATTTTAGTGCCTCCCGGATGCACCGCAAGGCGTGAATAGTGGAACTCTCGGAGTACCTCCCCTCGGCAAGACTTGGGCACAAACAAACGATCTCGGTATCTCACACTCTGGTCGGGATACACCGTCAAACCCTTCTCCACCTTCCCACTTGAGATCTTCTCTCGGAGGGATTCTACCTCAAGGTCACCTCTCTGTGCCTCTAACACCCTAGTCACAAGTGTAGGCTGCGCAACAACAGAATACAAGGCCGCAGCCTCAACAGATTCGCCCAGATGCAAATCAAACTCGCCAAGTGTACCCAACATCTCCCATTCCCGGATGGCTATACAAGCTACATCACTAATGGATTTTCTACTAAGGGCATCGGCCACAACATTGGCCTTTCCCGGGTGATAGTGCAACTCAAAATCGTAGTCCTCAATGAACTCCATCCATCTCCTCTGCCTCAAATTCAAGTCCCTCTGGGTAAACAGGTACTTCAAACTCTTGTGGTCCGAGGACACCTCAAACCTCTCACCATACAGGTAGTGCCTCCAAATTTTCAAGGCAAAGATCACTGCGGCTAACTCTAAGTCGTGTGTAGGGTAATTCGTCTCGTGTATTTTCAACTGACGTGAGCCATAAGCTACCACTTTCCCCTCTTGCATCAACACACAACCCAAACCCTCTCGTAAGGCATCACAATAAACCGCATAACCCAACCCTCTCTCCGAAAATAATCAAAACCGGAGCGGTGGTCAATCTAACCTTCAACTCTTGGAACGACTTCTCACAAGTCTCATTCCACACAAACTTGACCCCTTTCCGTGTCAATCTAGTCAACCGCGAAGCGAGTCTGGAGAAATCTTTCACTAACCGGCGGTAATACCCAGCTAATCCCAGAAAACTGCGGATCTCAAACACACTCTTAGGCTGTGCCCAATCTTGCACTGCCTCTACCATGGACGCATCAACAGACACCGCTTCTCCGGATACTACATGGCCTAAGAACTTGACTTCTCCCAGCCAGAACTCACACTTCCCAAACTTGGTGTACAGCCTATGGGCTCTAAGTAACTCAAGCACTACTCTCAAGTGTGCCTCGTGCTCCTCCTCAGAAGGCGAATAGATAAGATTGTCGTCCACGAAAACGACCACAAATCGATCTAAGAATTCCCGGAAGATCCGGTTCATCAAGTCCATAAAGACTGCCGATGCATTGGTAAGCCCAAATGGCATCACCAGAAACTCATAATGGCCATACCGTGTACGGAATGCCGTCTTCGGGATATCCTCCTCCCTGACCCTCAACTGGTGGTAAC